ATCCATGTATCTTTGTATCTATATTTGCTTTTCTACTACATCCTAAGACAATTTAGTAATTGTATCTTTTTATCTGATACAATTTAAATGCACATCCTTTGTAGACTATTAACCATTGGGTACTCCCACTTAATATACATAGGTGGCAGGGAGAGAGAGAGAGAGATGCAAAATGACAGCCAAAAATTAAAATGAGGGGAGTCTGGAGGGCTCAGTCCATTGAGTGTCCAACTTTTTTTTTTTAAGATTTTATTTATTTATTTGAGAGAGAGAGAGAGTGAGAGAGAACGTTAGACAAGATCAGAGGGAGAAGCAGACTCCCCGTGGAGCTTGGGGCCTGATGTGGGACTCAATCCCAGGACTCCGGGATCATGACCTGTTGAAAGCAGTTGCTTAACCAACTGAGCCACCCAGGTGCCCTGAGCACCCAACTCGATTTCGGCTCAAGTCATTATCTCAGGATCATGAGATCCAGCCCTGCATCAGGCGTCACACTCAACATGGAGTCGGCTCAAGATTCTCTCTTTCCCTCTCCCTCGATCCCTCCCGCTGCTCACTCTCACACACTCTCTCTAAAATAAATTTAAAAAATTAAAAAGAAAGAATGCTTTGATTAACTTTGGAAGATTTCAAGAAACCAACTCAATTTAAAAACTGGTAAATATAAGGGATTCTAGCATCTATTCTGCCTTTCTGTATAAACTGTATTCCATGGAAACAAAAAAAATTGATAGGAGAAAGTTCTTTATAGCAGTCCAAATAATAAATGAAGAAGGAATGATCAAATCAGAATAAGACTCTTTTGTGACCTCTAATAAAATAATGGATCGAAGCAATGATCATCAATGGCTGTGAAAATCATTAGGTGAAAAGTTGATATGGAACTTTACAATGGATAGATTAGGCTGGCAATACTTGAATCTAGTGATCAGTCTTATCAACACAGAGAGGTAACCAAACATTATGCGCCTTGTAAAATTATGCAAAAGAAGGTGTAACAGGGGTGCCTGCATGCCTCAGTCAGTTAAGCATCTGCCTTCAGCAAAGGTCATGATCCCAAGGTCCTGGGATCAAGCCCCACGTTGGGCTCCCTGCTTGGTGCCTCTCTCTCTGCCTGCTGCTTCTCCCTCGCCCTCTGCTTGCTGCTCCCCCTGCTTGTGCCCTCTTTCTCTGTCAAATAAATAAAATATTTTTTTAAAAAGGAGGTATAATAATCTCTGAAGTAGTCTTTAAAAAAAATTAAACCCAAGTCTGATCAAACCTCTGGATTTAACTTCCAGCTCATAAGTAGCTCAGTGGACAGAAGAACATGTTAAGTGACACTACAAAGATGCAGTCAGCAAAATCCAAAATGCGAAAAATTCTGTAAGACAAATAACCTACATTATTTATCAAATAAATTACAGGGGGTAGGAGGGAGGATAGAGGGAAAAGGAACTATACATTAAAAGAGACTTAGAGGGGCGCCTGGGTGGCTCAGTGGGTTAAAGCCTCTGCCTTCGGCTCGGGTCATGATCTCAGGGTCCTGGGATCGAGCCCCGCATCGGGCTCTCTGCTCAGCGGGAAGCCTGCTTCCTCCTCTCTCTGCCTGCCTCTCTGCCTACTTGTGATCTCTCTCTGTCAAATAAATAAATAAATAAATAAATAAATTTTTTAAAAAAAGACACTCAGAAATACACTAAACGCAAATATGGACCCTGTTTAGATCTTAACTCAAGCAAACCTGTATAAAAAAAAGCAAAATCCTTTATGAGACAATTGTAAAAATTTTTAATACTAACTGGATATTTAATTACTTTAAAATTTATTAATTTAGCATGATGAGAGTATTGTGGTTATAGCAAAAAACAAAAAACAAAAAATGTGTCCCTATATTTTAGAGATATATGCACACATATATTTACAGATAAAATTGTTACGACAGACAGGAATTGCTTCAAAACAATTTGGGAAAATTACTGGGAAGCACTGGTATACATGAAATAAAACTGGCCATGTCTTTACTGTTGAAACAGGGTGATTGGCGTATAAAGATTCATTATGTTACTCTATTTTTATATGCGTTTTTAAATACTCGTTTTAAAGTTTGAAAAAAAATAGAGAATTCTCCTTCATAGATGGTTAACCTCTGAGGCGTTCTTATTTAACATATTAATTGTGCTCACCTACCCATGAGGCACTATTGCAGGTGTTGAGACACAGTATAAGAGGCAAGCATTTTAAAATTCCCTTCAATAAAGCAACTGACAAATGAAATAATTATTAAGTAAGTGGAAGCACATAATTTCAAAGATTTGCCAAGAGCAGTTAACAAATATGAACATGAACAATAAGAAAGCAGGTTTTGGGGGAGGTTTTTTGTTATTTGTTTGTTTTGGTAATCATCTCCCTATTTCCTCCTTTCTGCAGAAACAATGATTTTACATCTGGCAATTCTGGGTTTCCTATTTTAGAAGGCCTTAAAATCAAAATTATGACAAACACATTCAACTACTCCCTAGCTTGTTCAACTTTCTACTACAACATAATAACAAAAAGCATTTAATTAACATAAAGCAAAACTGAGCAAAGTAAGAAAAAAATTAAAAACAATTGCTTGAGAACTTTCCATGTAATCCAGGATATCAAGGCCAAAATGTCCCTCTATAAAAGTGTAAGTAATAAATGACAACACTTGAAATTGGTATATTGTGCAAGCCCAATAAATACTGTTCATGTCCTACAAATCAGAAACCATAGGACAAAGAATTATAGACTTCTTTTAAAACTTAGCTTGAAATCTAACACCTAAAAAATAGATATTATAAAAATCCAAACCTACTTAGATACATATACACTTATGAGCAGCAGCTTAAACATGTCAAAATAAAATACAAACTACAGTTGTCCTTTATTATTTTTTAAATTTATATTCTCAAAGAATCTTTCAAACTGTTAAAATACTAAAACTCCCTTTAACTTCACACTGGATAGGTAACACTGAAAGAAAGCACTTTTGAAAGATATATATTATATAAAGTAATAAATAGATATTACTTGTCAGATGATGCATCTTCTTTCATGAAAAAAGAAGCTAGCCACTAATTTCCAGGTCACAACAGGGGAGCACGTAACATTAGACAGAATAAAACAGTGTTCAAAAGAAAAACAATTTTGATCATATCACCTCACTTCCCATGAAAAATTTTCAGTTCAAAAAAGCATGAAGGAAAAAAGTGAAATACAGAGCAGTTGTAACCAATTATAAAATTCATAGTGGGAGACAGGGGTAAATACACAGCATCCTGTTAGGGAATAACAATGGCAGGTGTTATTCAATGTATTTTTCTGATTTAGGGAATGTATCTTGGTGTGTTATATCTCTGAAAACACCCAACTGTGAGTTCTCGGGACAACCCAGTTCAACCCTACACTGTTATGTGTATATTCAAATAGAGGCAGCCAACATAAAGGACAAGCCTTTATGCAGAGGTGAGCAGACCAACATAGGGCACTACAACCTGGGTATCTCTACTGCTTTGTCAATTGTTTTGACAGCAACAGGAATCTACCTCTTTCTGAGAGGCAAAAATTGCTTTAAAAGAACATCAAGTATGGCATCCTTAGAAAAGTAACCAGTTCAAACAGCAACTAAGAAGAAAATCAGATGAATGAAGTACCGGAAAAAGAGAGATTTACTAGCCATAAAAAATGGTGCCGGAGTATTTGATACCAGTGTCTTATTAAAAAAGAAGAAATAACTGAGACCCAAACATGAAAAAGGCACACAGTCTTAGATCAATCAAGGCCCAAATTCCATCCTTTTGCTCTCTAGTTCTACATTCTTTTCATATTCATTTTCATTCATTTTTCATTACATAGCACTACCTTTTCTTTCAATGAATAAGGTCTTCATTAGACTGTTAGAAAACAGCTTGCATTTACTAAAAGCCCGGGGCAAAGATGTTATATGTGCATGTCCCAATGAGATTGTCCAATGACCCCCTTAGAACATGTTTTCAAGCAGAGCACCAAAAAAATAAAAATTCTGTCTAAAATGCAAACACTCAGATAAATAAATGTGTATTCTCTTCACAGACACCAAAGCCTAACTGGACTGCTGTTTCTCACAGATTTGTCCACAGAAATTCCATATTAATTTTCTTGTTCTGAACCCATAGTATCTTGCATAGTTCCATCAATCTAAGACCAGAACCTGTGAAAATAGTACATTCCAAGCCCCTTTCATAAAGTTACCTCTCTCACTTGTTAAGTATCCTAAAAAGCACCCTATTTCTTCTAAGCTTTACATCCAGACCATTAACACCAATGAGTGCTAATTCAGAGGTAAGCATAATAGTAATAAATAAAATAAGTAATAAAAATAAATTAAAAATAATAAATCTTTTTTTAGAATTTTTCCATGTACCTTTTCAATACTTAAAATTTTATTTATATGCTAACACATATCTTCACTCAATCTAGACTCTTATTAAATCATAAAGACTTTGAGAGTAAATTTTGTCAAATACTTTACATGCAAATATATTACCACACCATACAAAATATATATTCTTCTCTAAAACTATGGGAAATGTTAGTTTTTCTCTATTCTTCCTAGTATACTTCCAACTGTATCCAATCCTTAAAATAACTTGAAGAAACTTGAAGAAATAAATAAACCTAATCAAAACAAACTCAAAGGGCCACATCACCAAAGCACCAAATCCTTAATATTATTTGCTCCAAGAACAACTGCATAATAGTTTATTTTTAAGTGTCGTAATATAAATGTGGACCACTATATCATAACATGAATTATGTTAATACAATTTCCTAAGTTTAAATAACACACAATAGACTTAAAAACAATTAAATGACAACCAAGCAATTACTTCAAATAGCAAAAATGTCATCTCTTTACTGAATGCCAGTTATTCATTTCTATCAATAGTTGTGCTGCAGAAGTCATAAATAAATGGGAACAGTATCTACCTGAAAAATTGTTCTGAGAAACTTACCATCATTTTGGCTCTTGCCCTTCATCTCCTCCTTCCAGGATAGGATGGTGTTCAGGGGAACATAGTCCCTTATGTATTCTTTGCGTCTCTCCTCTAAGGTCATCTTCAGTAAACGTTCTTGCAAAATAAAAGCAGAATCTCCATTTGTATTTAACTTTTAAGTTCAGGAATTATTTTATAATTTAGCTATTAATCATGTAAACAAACCGAAGAACTGGTTGGGCTTGAAAAACATCAAAATGAAAATCTAATGACTCCATATCTGAATGTTATAAAGGGTCAAGTTAATACCATTTTTACAATGAGGGATGGGGCAGAGCCTGATGAGGAAGACTCTTATGATAGCCCAAGAAATAAATGAGCTCTTTAAATCAACATATATTATCAGTCTACTATATGCCAAGTAATATGTTTATACACTGCAGGTGCAAAGGTGATCCTTAACCTTGAGGAGTTCACAAGACAAAAGAGGAATGGATACTATACAAAATAATAGCTACATAAATAAAATACAAAATCCTAAAACAGGTATGTATAAATGCTAAGAGCACAAGAAAGGCAATCACCACAGCATTCCCTTAATTCGAAATGCCATCAACAATAAAAGGGCACTTTCAATTTAATAATATCTTTGTGGAGGTAACTAAATACTACTTTTAATATACATCTTGATAAGATTAAAATATCTTTAAAAATGCATCTTAAAATGACAATATAAAAATATTAAAAAAATGCATCTTAGAATTAAGAACAATAAGTCCTTTATAAGTGCTAGATACTTCACACATAAAATTTCATGGAAATCATCTTTCCAACAACTTAGCAAAATTAATTGTATTATTATTCTTATTTTGTAGATAGGGAAATGAAACACATCAAAGTTCAATAGCTGTCCAAAGCAAGAAAGCTTTCCATTAAAATCCAGTCAGATATCTCCAGAAGTCAAAAACTATAACCTATATTATTAGTCACTACAATGTACTACCTTCACAGGATAAGCTCCTCAGAAGAGGTGATGTGTTTCTATTATGTCAGCTGTCATGTATCATATACTTTACCAAAGGTCTCCACAATGTAAAGAGAATGACAGTTGTTCTCTCTCCGACTGTCTTTAAGCACAGTACAAAAATGAATGGATTTAAGGAGAGTAACTAGTTGTAGGTATCTAACCCTCATAAAATAATCACTTTCAAAGATTCTTTCCAGGGGCGCCTAGGTGGCTCAGTCATTAAGCATCTGCCTTCCCTTCAGGTCATGACCCCAGAGTCCTGGGATCAAGACCTACATCTTCTCTCTCTCCCATTGCCCCTGCTTGTGCTCCCTCCCTCTCCTCGCTGTGCCTCTCTCTGTCAAATAAATAAATAAAATCTTTAAAAAAAAAAAAAAGATTCTTTTCAGAAATAAACTGCAGAATGTATTAATTTAAGTACAATAGAACAGGAAATGGGAAGCCAACATTTTTCCCTGCTCCTAGAACTGGCTTTTCTTCAGCCACATTAGGAAGTAATAATAATAATAAAGTATTTTAACCAAATGTAATATAATCAAATCACAATACTACAGTATTCAAGGGTTAACACTGTACTGAAATCCAAGTTGAAATCCAAGAATCTGGAAATCAGGAAAGAGATCTAGCTAGCCTGGAGATTTTGGAAATTACAACTGAAACTTCTGGTCCTAAAGGAAGTTCACAGGAAAAGGTAAGGGATATGATCAAACCTCAAAAAAAAAAAAATAAATAAATAAGGGGTAGACACAAAGAGGGGGAAAATGAAATAAAACTTAGATGTCACTGGAGGTATAAGGTGAATCAAAGTGCCAATGATGTAGAAACCAGCAGACAGAAGAATTTTAGTAAGATGGGGATTGGGGGTATGGGATAACTGGGCGATGGACATTAAGGAAGGCAAGTGATATAAGGAGCAGCACTGGGTCTTATATAAGCCTGATGAATCACTGAAACTGAAATAATACACTATATGTTAATTGAACTTAAAATATAAAATAAGTAGAAGAAGGGAAATACTGTCAACTGCTATAGAAAGATCAGGAAGAATAAAAATTAATAAGCCACTGGTTTTATCAACTGGATCACCAACAGCACTGAAAAGAAAGCAAAGTGGTTAACAGAGCTGTCTGGATTCTAATCCCCAACCATGCAAATCTATGTGATCTTGGGTTACCTAATCTCTTAATGTCTCAGTTTTTCTGAGGTAGGTATTATACACAATTTATAGATGAAGCAATTAAGCCAGAGAGGTTGTGTAACATACCTAATGTTCTACAGGTAGTAAACAATACAAGTAAGATTCAAATCAGACAAATCTTCAAAGCTCTTGACCCTACAGTATACTACCTCACAGAACTGTTGTGAAAATTAAATGAGATAACCCATGTAAGATACAGTAATCCCCCTTATCTGCAGTTCTGCTTTCCATAGTTGTAGTTACCCATAGTCAACTGCAGTTGGGAAGAAGATCATCCTCTCTTTGGCATATTGTCACAGAGTCAGTAGTAACCTAACACGATGTCATGTCATTCACCTCACTTCATCTCATCACACAGGCGTTTTATCATCTCACATCATCACAAAAAGGATGAGTACAGTACAATAAAATATTCTGATGCCACATTCACATAACTTTTATTACAGTATATAGTCATTATTATTCTGTTTCATTATTAGTTACTGTTAATATGTTACTGTGCCTAATTTATAAATTGAACTTTATCATAGATATATGTGTATACACACATACACACGCAGAAGGAAAAAAACAGCATATATAGTGTTCAGTACTATACACAGTCTTAAGCATCCACTGGGTGCCTTGGAACGTATCCCCATAAATGAGGGGAGACTATTGTACTTAGAATAGTGCTATGCACACAAACAGGACTCAAATAGTAACTCTTTTTATATTGGTACCATCACTGTTACTACTGAGTGGATTTAGAAACATTAGTTTCACTAGAGTACAGTTGAGATCCAGGATGACTACAAGGAAACTGAGGGAAAAGAAGGGAGAACAGCAACTCCAGGATGAAGCCCTTTGGAAAGAAGGGTATTTTATGTTAGAGACTCAAGTATCATTATAGGCTGAGGAGGGGAACCTAAAGACATTGACAAACTAAATATATCCAAAAGGGAATAAATGACAGCAAAAAAAAAAAAAAAAAAAAAAAAAAAGGAAGGAAGGAAGGAAAAAAGAAAGTGCTTCCATTAAGGTAAGAATAAGGCTGAAAGGACAAAGGACATATAAAGAAATGGACAGAGGAAAATGCTAGGGCTGTTCATGTTATATGACATACATTTTCTAAATGAATTAAAAGGAAATGTCATGTATTTAATATAGGAGGAGGGGGTCCTGATAGAATAGGAAGCTTGAAGGAAATGGTAAATTTGGTATACTCAATCAAAGGAGGAAAAGGGATGACTAGCACTTTCCAAAGCACTATTACAAGAGTTCAGATCACTAATATAGACATATTGCAAGATCAGTAATTAGGTTGAAAGATATTATGAAGCAACTTGTAGTTTTAGTAAATGTCAGAAGGTAATATAGAAATGCAACCTGGCCTTTATATTTATAGAAACATTAAGTATGGACACTTAGAAAAGAAACAAGATCAATAATAAGAAAATAAGGTAAAACAGAGAGGTGATTTACGTTCCAGTACTTCAAATTATAATACACATTAAGTGGTTTTAAATTAGGGCTCAAAATAATACATTAATAATGTTCACTTAACATATGTGGACTTAAGTCCTTTGTTACTTGTTTAAACAATGGAAACATACTAAGGACCACAAACATCTATACAGTTTCTTCGGCATTACACAAAACTTTTCCTGAAAGAATGCTTCCCCTTTAGAATGAATCTGCTCTATGAACCAAGCATATAAGTAGACAGACCTACTATTAGATGGCATACTGAGATAAAGTGTGTTTACAGAATGCCAGACATTTCAATGAGGAGGATAAGCCTTCCTTCAGACTTAAGTAACAGCTGCAAAAATACAATAAAATCCTCACCAGTGCAATGAAAGAAAAAAGGTCATGCATCCCATTAGCTTCTTTAATACTAACCACTGTATTAGAAATCCTTAGTTCTCTCTTTTTTTTTTTTAAAAGATTTTATTTATTTATTTGACAGAGATCACAAGTAGGCAGAGAGGCAGGCAGAGAGAAGGGGGGGGAAGCAGGCTCCCCGCTGAGCAGAGAGCCCGATGTGGGGCTTGATCCCAGGACCTTAGGATCATGATATGAGACGAAGGCAGAGGCTTTAACCCACTGAGCCATCCAGGCGCCCCTTTAGTTCTCTCTTGATGGTATAATACATACTTTTAAATATTAAATATTCAAAAACAGACATCCTGATACACTGAGACATACACTAAAGTCTTCAAATCACAGTTTAAGTTTTTCCTTAACCATTAAACTCCATGCAAAAATAAGGTTAGTTTTAGACAAGACATATTTAATTTGTTAAATACCCTCTTTAATTGTGCACTTGCTTCTTATACTTGAAAAAATTTAATTTGGTTATGTTTTCCCCTATTGTTAGAAGCAAAATATCAAAAACTCAAGACATTAAAGATTCTAAAATGCCTGCTTGCCACAGTCCAAATGTGTAGATGTTAAATGAAGGACCATTATAACATTGTCACTTTAGGAACATTATGACAGAAAAATACTTCTTAAACAATTACCATAATTTCATCAGTGAATCAGAAATTGAAAACAATCTTGACTTCCATTATTTTGCCTTATTATCAATACAAAACTAACATTTCAAGACCATCAAGAAAAATGGGCAGAGGATCTTTCAATGCTTACAAAGAAAATTGTTGGAAAAAAAATTGGAAATGTGCTGAAACTAAAGTAACTGACACTGCAAAAACAAAGATTATTTGATACTACTTTTTATATACCAGGCTATTATTCTCAACAGAATTTTTAGTTCGATATAAGCCCATAATCATTAAGACATAATTAAATGACATACAACCTAATCTTTCAATATTTTTAAAAGCCATTTTAGATCTTCCCAGGAGTTCATTTGAAAAAATAAAACCCCCTCCCCATCCCTTTCCTTCTGCATTGAAGTGGGCCCTATATAAAGGATTATTTTCCACATACATTCTTTCTTATGTCCACTGTTTGGCCTTAGAGTTTATAAAGGCCAGGACTTGCGAAAAGAATCTACAGGTTTTAAAGAGCTATTATCAAGGAAATCAACTCTCAACCTAGTCACCCCATTATCCTTCTAATATGAAGAAAATAGGTACTTCGGAGAGATCTGCACTACCCTCACCTGACTTCACTCTGGACACACAAGTTTAGTCTATGTTAGCAGTAGCAATGCAAGTATCTGCTACACTTCTGTAAAAAACTAAAGAACAGAAAAGTGTGAAAAGAATGAAAGAAAAAACGCCAGAGACTAAAGTTTTATGTCGGAATATTATCTAACTATAATGCCAGAGAAAAAGGGGGGTGGGGACAGGACTGGATGGTACACTTCTGTGTCTTCTTACAGGAATCAGTGCCACCGTCAATCTAGCTGATCTGGATAACCTTTAATATGCACAAATTTCAGGGGTAGATGCATTCACAGAGAGTAATATCAGCTTCACAATCTTACACTGAGCAACTTCTGGTTACAAAAGGGCATGAAATACACAGAAACACACTGCAGAGAAAAGCCCATTCAGACTTCGCTGAAAGCATTTATCCTCACGGAAAAGACGCCCGTTTTCAGTTTCGCTTAGAGTTCCAGGTTTCAAAAGTCACACTGCGGCGCAGAAGGGGCCTAGAGAAGGGGTAAACGCCCGAAGGTGCGGACACTCTGCCAGCTGGGGGGTGGGGGGCAGAGGGGAGGAGTGAACCGATGAGGGTCAGCTTGGCGCGGAGGCGCAGCTGCAGCCCGTGTGCCCGCCGGGGGGCACGTGTCCCTGGGACAACCTGGCCGGGAGTCCGAAAGTCCCAGATGGGGTCCGGGGAGAGGGTGGGGGACCTGGGCAAGTTGTGCCGCACCCGAGAACTGACGCGCGGCGATCCAAGCCACCAGCCAGGCTAAGGCAGCCCCGCATGGGGAGAAGGTGACCGGGCGCGGCAGGCAGCAGAGGGGCGTGCGCCCACACGTGCGCGAGCTGCAGGTGCCCGGGGGCGGCGCGTGCACGAAGGTGTGTGCGCGCGTGTGCGCGTGTGTACACACGGACTCGCGAGGGAGGCGGCACCGGCCGGCGGGCGCGAGGCGGGAGCTCGGGCGGAGGGCGCCGCGGCACACACAGCCCTGACCCCCGCCCCCACCCGACCCCCACCCCCCGCACCCCCAGGACTCGACGGGTCAGTTACCTTTCTCCTCTCTCCACACCTTTTTCTTCTTGTTGCTGGGGTACATGTTGCCGTGGGGGTGGCTGGCTTTAAGCTGCAAGTTCCCCAGGCTCACGGGCAAACAGGGTGTGTGTGGAGTGGGAGGGGTGGGAGGGGGCACTCGGGAGGAAAAAAAGTGCAAGAGGCTCCGGGTCCCGCGCCACTCGCCAATCGCCGCCCTCTCCTCTCAGCCCGCGCTCGGCTTCGGTTCCCACCCGCCTCAGCGCCGCGGCCGCCGCCACAGCAGCACCTCAGAGCCTGTCAACTAGGTCACGCCTCGCGCTAACCTAACACCCGCGCAGGCCCCGCCTCCCAGCCGCTAGCCAGCGACGCCTCCCATTGGCTGCAACGTCCGCCGCTCTCCGCGTTCCAGTCACCGCGCGCCCCTACTTCGGCCCCAGGGCGCACGCGCAGGCGCAGGCTCGGGCCAGACGCCGAGGACGTTGGGGAGCTGGAGGGGGCGGAGCCAGGGCGCGAGGGGGCTGGAGATGGCCTCGCGTTGGGGGGGCGGGGCGTGGAGCGGACGCCTGGGAGAAGCGTGAGGTTGCGGGAGCTTCCCCCTGCTTCTCAGCGCTTGAGAACCTGAGGGCGTGGCCTATAGGGCCAGGTGCGCTAGGTATCTGGAGAGTCATCGGGAGAAAGCTGCGTCTGGAGCTGGAGGATGTGAAAGTGGAAGGAGAATTCAGTCAACGCGAATGTCCACGTTTACTCCAACTGACCCGTCTGGATGGATTTTACCAGATAATCTGAAGCTTTTCTCTTGGTGGGTAAATATAACCCGAAGAAGTGAGAGGATTGGGAAATACTTCCGCACCAAACAATCAGCTCCTCAACCTTGTAGTAAAAATTACAGTCTTCGCTGGAGTGTGGTGAAGTTTAGAACGAGCAAAGATAGACTGGACTAAACCAGGGTTTTAGGAACTTAGTAGTGGGCAACCAAAATGTTATATTGGAAACAAAAACTTACATCAAAGCAAATTCAAGTGGGTGTCAACCAGAGCCAAGTCATCTTACCTTTTTTTCCTCCAATCGCTTCAACTCAAGGCACTGGGTTAAAGCGCTGGCTTGATTCTGGGTAATACTAATCTGTTGGTGTTCTGAAAATCCAGTTCGGATAGAGTCCACCACAAGAGTAGGGTGACCTAGAATTTTTTTTTTTTTTTTAATTTATTTGACAGAGAGAGATCACAAGTAGACGGAGAGGCAGGCAGAGAGAGAGAGAGAGAGGGAAGCAGCCTCCCTGCCGAGCAGAGAGCCCGATGCGGGACTCGATCCCAGGACCCCGAGATCATGACCTGAGCGGAAGGCAGCGGCCCAACCCACTGAGCCACCCAGGCGCCCCGGTGACCTAGAATTTAAAGGAAGTTTGACAACTCCCTCCCCCAAATGTATTGCATTTCTCTTTTTTTTTTTAAAGATGTTATTTATTTATTTGACAGAGATCACAAGTAGACGGAGAGGCAGGCAGAGAGAGAGAGGGAAGCAGGCTTCCTGCCGAGCAGAGAGCCCGATGCGGGACTCGATCCCAGGACCCCGAGATCACGACCTGAGCCAAAGGCAGCGGCTTAACCCACTGAGCCACCCAGGCGCCCCTGTATTGTATTTCTAAATATCAGACCATTTACAAGGCTGATTTGGTGGATGTAGTGAAACGACATTGATCTGACGTTTGGAGTTGCCATGTTATCTGTGTAGTACTTAAGCCAGGTGTGTAAGAGCTAATATTTGCAACATATTTTTTAATAATAAGAGGGAAAAAAAGGAAAAAAGAGGAAGGTCTTATTAAGGTTTGTAAAAAAAAAAAAAAAGAAAGAAAGAAAAATGTTATCAGTAACAGGACACTCATGACTATGATTCATGACATAGTAAGGTAATAATTTTTATTTTAACATTGTCTATGCTTCTGTTTTTCTTTTAATGCTGTGAATTTGGCTGGGAAAAATAACGAAGTCTTCAAGAAGGAAGTGACACTTGGGCTAGTAATAAAAATATGCACTTATTTTTTGACAGTGGAAGTAAAAAGCTCTGATTCGAGACACATTACAAAAGTAGAATCAATAAAAATTAGTAATGGAATGGATTTGGGGAACAGGATGAGGAACAGAAAGAAGAGTTTCATGGAATAGTTAAGAGGAGAATAGCAGTATTAATAATAATAGGCAATCCAGGAGTAGTTGCAGATTTTGTGAGAAATATATTAAGTTCTTATTTAGAAATGCTACATGTAAAGTGTCTGCAGGAAAGTGCATCAGACTGGACACTATCCCTTTTGTTACAAGACGGAGGCTATTTCCAACCCAGAGTCCACCCGTGTTTTCTTAGGAACCTAACACTATGATACTGATTATTCTTTGTTTCATGTCAACTTAAGGAACTAGAACCATACATCAACTTTCAAACTTTCTCAAGTCTCTTCCATATTAAAAACAAAATAAAACAAAACAAAAAATTCCTCCTATGATTCCACAACACCCTCCAGCTACTGCTTCTCCTTCATTTTCAAAAGGTTGTTGGTATCTGCTGTGTCAATTTCCTTACTTCCCACTTTCTGCTTTTCAGTCCACTTTTTTCTTGTTTCTACCTTATTAACCAACTGAAATAGCTCCTATTAAGGTGGCCAATGACCTTCATGTGCTATTTAATGGACATTTTTCAATCTTTCTCTTACACGATCTCTCAGCAGCATTTAACACTCAGCCTCATATTCCTCCCTGCAGCATTCTTTTCCTTCAATTTTTCTCACCCTTTCGAGATTCCTCCTATATGGCCATTTCTTCTCAGTTTCCTTTACTGGCCCATCTTCATTTTCAGCCATTACATTTTGGAGTTCATTAAGACTTAGTCTTAGCCCTTTGTATCTTTTCACTTTATACTTTTTCTTCGAATAACTTCATCTGCACTCATGGTTCAGGTGTAACAGTGATTCTCAGCCAGGGGCTGTTCTGCACTGCAGGGGACATTGGCAGTGTCTGGAGACATTTTTGGTTGTCCCAACTGGGAATAGAGTGCTACTGGCATCTAGTGGGCAGAAGTCATGGATGCTGCTAACCATCCTAAAGTGCATGGGACAACCCCACAACAAAGAATCATCTGACCCAAAATTTCAACATTGCCAAAATTGGGAAACCCTGAGTTACACCAATGACTCCCAAAGTTATTATCTTCAGCAAAAATTTCTTCTTGAACTTTTGACCTATACATGCTAGCATATATTGAATATCAACTTTAAGAGGCAGTGTTACGTACTGTTTCAAAGGCACCTGAAACTAGACCATCTTGATTCAAATCCTGAATTCACCGTTATTGATTATGTGACCCTTGGCAAGTTACTCAGTCTCTACACATTGCTTTTTTTATTATGTGGATATGATAATTTAGTATCTACCTTGATTGGTGTGAGGATGAAATGAGTTAAATAACACATGAAATGACTAACACCTAGTAAATGTGGCAGCAATGTTCACTAACACAATTTTCTCTCTCTTGACCCCTAGGAAGACTGTATTTCCCAGTGTCCCTTGAAGTTAGGACAAGTGACTGCATCCTGGGTGGGTTATAAAGCAAGAGTGATGTATGCCACTTCTAGGCCTACCCATCAAATCCTCTGTACACTCATCCATATTCTCTCTTTTCTTTCCATGGTGGTCTCAGAAGCAGCGTCTCAAGAAGGAAGGAGCTTGGATCCCTGAGTCACTGCTTGAAGGAATATCTCAGTGATCCAAGGAGTATCACATCAGGCTATGATATAAACAAGAAACCTTTATTATATTAAGGCATTGGTATTTAGAGGGTATTTGTTTCAGCATTAAGTATTAATTATTCTGACAAAATACCATTATCATACAGGAGTATTAAATATTAATATTTAATGTCTCAAAAGTACTTAAAATGTATCATGTACCACACTGAACTCATGATCTTTCCTCCACATTTAGATTTCTTCCAGGGTCCCCTGTCTCTGTGAATGGCTTCATCACCCTTTCACTTGAGCAATCAGCAACTCTAAATACCATCCCTGATACATCTTATAACTTCATTTTCATTTCAAATGAATTGTTATATCATCTCAATTTTATCTCTTATATCACTCTTTTTATTGCTCTCCTTTCCAATGGCACTGCAGTAAACTCAGTTAAGAAATTAACTGGATTCTTTAAAAAAGCTTCCTAATTTGCCCCCATGTCTTCTTTTGTCCCTCTTATGTCCATTCTCTGCCCTGCATCTGGAATTACCTTGTCAGATGTGATCATGTCACCTCGCTGGCATAAATTGTTCAATGACTTTCTGGTGCTCTTTGCTTTGGATTGAATTGTATTCCCCCAAAATTCATATATTGAAACCTTAGTTGACTGTGGGATTATATCTGGAGATTAGGTCTTTAGGAGGTACTTAAGGTTAAATGAGGTCACAAGGGTGGGACCCTAATCCAGTAGGACTGTGGCCTTATAAGAAGAGGTAGATAAATATATATCTCTTCACCTTCCTTCTACACCTACCCCTCACACCTGCTGTGGGAAGGCACAGTGAGAAAGTGGCTATCTTTCTCACTTAACATAGGAAGAGAGCCTTTGCATAACCAGACACTGCTAGCATCCTGATCATGGACTTCTAGTCCTCAGAATTGTGGGGAAAAAAATTCAGTTGGGGTGTCTGGATGGCTCAGTCAGTTAAGTGTCTGCCTTCAGCTCAGGTCATTATCCCATAGTCCTCAGATAGAGCCCTGGAACAGCCTCCTTGCTCAGAGGGAAGCCTTCTTCTCCTTCTCCCTCTGCCTGTCACTCTCTGCTTGTACTCTCTCTCTTTCTCTGTCAAATAAATAAATAAAATCTTTTTTAAAAATTCTTTTGTTTAAGCCATCCAATCTATGGCATTTTATTATGGCAGCCCAAGCTGACTACTACAGTCTTATAAAAACTAAATCATTAAGAATGGGGAGTGCCGGGACGCCTGGGTGGCTCAGTTGGTTGGACGACTGCCTTCGGCTCAGGTCGCGATCCCGGAGTCACGGAATCGAGTCCCGCATCGGGCTCCCGGCTCCGCGGGGAGTCTGCTTCTCTCTCTGACCTTCTCCTCGCTCATGATCTCTCTCACTGTCTCTCTCTCAAATAAATAAATAGAATCTTTAAAAAAAAAAAAAAAAGAATGGGGAGTGCCCATCGCCTACCAGTTCTGCTCCACCACTACCACTCAATCTCTGGTTCCAGTCATAGCAACCATAGAGA